CACTGCTCTCCTCCTCTGTGACGTGGTTCTCCTTTTTGGGTAGATGTCTTACTACCGCCCTGTTATCACACCCTTCCACTTCACCCTCGCACCTTAACATCTGGTTGCCAGTGCCTGCGATATTATCGCAGCTGTCATTGTAAACGATGTCGCCCTTTTTCGCTCTCACACTGCCGCGGAGACAAGAGCCGCTGTTGCCGATGCCGTTTCTAAAACGAGATACATCGCCCTTGTTTCCAATTCCCTCTCTCCTTTGCGTTTTACCTTGGCTTCGTGCCCGCATCTGATGCTTCCTCTCTTTTTAGTTACTACTCCAAAACATCATGCCGTCGTTCAACTTTCGGCTAATGTGTTCCAATTTCAGGCTACCTTCTGCAGCATCCCCTTGAACTCTCCTCACAACTCCTCTACCAATCTCTTATCCAACCTGGATTATAGGTGTTGTGGTAAGATATCTTTGGCATTTTTAAAATAATTAAAGATGTTGTCATTGCCAACAATATTTTTTTATGCAATAGAAGCTTTCGATGGCTTAGCCATCATCATCAGTTGTCTGCTAGATGGAAGCCACAAAAACGACTACCGTAGTCGTAGTTTTTGTAGGGTAGTCGTTTTTGTGGCTTCCATCTAGCAGACAACTGATGATGATGGCTAAGCCATCGAAAGCTGCTATTGCATTAAAAAATATTGTTGGCAATGACAACATCTTCAACCTGGATTAGCCCATCCTCCTATCTCATCCTGGATTAGCATTTCGTCTCGTGTTACTGGGTCCATCTACACACTTCTCAGTTATGTTATTTATAGTTTATTACCCGCAATCGGGCAAAGTGACAATTGCAGCAGCTATTACAGAAATCAATGAAGAGAAGCGATAAATGCAGAACAAATATTTTAAAAAACGATCAATTGAAAGAAATAGAGATAACAAAATAAATATGTTCAATACAAATTTGTGAAATATAAAACCACAAAATGCAACTAAAATGAAAACATTGAAACTAGGAACTTAAACAGGAACGTAATAGCGAGCAATAGTAAAATAAATTTATCCGTATTTAGTGTCAATATTTTATTCAAATTTTCCTTATAATTGAAATAAGAAAAACTGAATTGTAAATCACATATTTTACCCAATTCATTTAATTGAGAAAACATTCTTAATAGCAGTGAGTGTGTGATTGTGCATTTAGTTTCTTATTGTATAATATTTCACGACCACTTAAATTTGATACGCGAGGATTAAACGACAATTACGGCAGTAATTCACTATCTGAGATAGGCCATTAAGTATTTTGAATAAAAACATCTGCAAAAACTCTCTAATTGCAGGAACTATTTTTAACTAGAATTCCATATGAAATTTCATGCCAATCATGTTGAAGTATAGATACCTGGAAAGTCGTTTTAAATATTTTCAATTTGATTACTGGGGGATTTGCAATAAGGAGACAAAGTAATTCAAGTGTATTCCAATTTAACACGCACAATAAAATTAAAGTGTGTAAATCTTGAAGTGTCATTGAGACTTTTAGAATTTCGTATGATTTTTTAATCCATCATTTGTGATATGACTTATGTATTTTTGGTAAGTTAGATCATGATCTAACACCTAACTCTTTTACGAGATATACACGTTCTAGTGATTCATTGAGTAATTGATTCTTAGATTTAATTTCTTGTATAAGTAATGAAGCAACATATTTTTAAGATTGAAGTGCGAATCATTGTCTAAGCTCCATTGGTAGATATTTAGTTATTAGACCTTTCCCGTTGTCATTGCTAACTATTGACCGCCACTCCACAATTTTATTTTTTATCCTGTTTGAGTTTAATATTTGCTCCACAAATTTCACATTCCACCTCCATCCCAGTTGTGGACTCATCTCACCTTCTTCCCGTTTTCCTTGCAATCATTTTT